TTTTATTAATAATGTAATTATTTTTTTAAATATTTTTAACGAGCATATTATATATTTAAACACTATATTTAGCTTATTTTAAATAAAAAATATTGCTATATTACTAAAAAAGTCGTTTATTAGGTACTTTTTAGTTAAGCTATTCGGTTTTTACGTCGACACTTTTAATATGTCGACCACGGCTAAAAAAGTATAAGCTTTTAAACAGCTCGTTTTTTTAGACTTTTTTAAATTATTAAAAAATTATTTTAAAGCTAGCGGGTTTTTATATAGTTTTTTATTTTATTATGTATAGCTGGCTAAACTTTTATAAAAATATAAAACGGCTTTTTTTATTAAAAAAAAAAAAAAAAAGTAAAATAATTAATAGTAATTTTAGTTATTGTAAACATTTTGTTTAATCTACTTTTTATTTTTTTACTTTAGCCGAGTTAGCCTTTTTTAAGGCCGTATAAAAAGCTATATGTTAAAAAATTATAATATATTATTATAACTTTAATAAGCTTTTTTTTTTTTAAATCGACGGATTTTAAAAGCGAAAATTTAAAATAATATTATTTTATATAGTAAAAAGCTATAAATAAAGTTTTAGTACTATAATTTCTGCAAATAAGGTATAGCTAATGTTATATTTAAACAGATGTTTATTTAGGGCTAAAATTTAGTATAGCTTTTTAGAGCTAAAAGTGGCATGCCTAGTTTAAGCAGCAAAAAAGCTTTATATTATTATTTATTTTAATATCTAATTTATAATTATATTAACAAATTATTTATTTATTAAAAAAATCGTAAACCAGACTATTTTAAATATTTTAGCCACCGATTATGCTAATTACTGTTTAGTTAATTTATTAGTATATTTATTACAGTATAGGTTATAGGTTTACTATCTACCCGGACGATTTAACTATGTTTTTAATACTTTTAGCCGGCTAAAGGCAGTATAAAATGTTATCGACGCTATAAATAAGTTATAATATTTAAACGAACCCGCCGTTTTAAACTCTGTTTAAAATATTATTAAAGCTACTTTTGCCTAGAACGTTATAAAATATATAACCGAGGCTGTTATAAATAAAAATTAAAAGCATAATTTTAAGCTTGCTTATAAAGCAAATATCCGGTATAATAAGATTTTTAATAAATTATCTTTTAAAAAGCTTTATACTAATAATAAAAGCATTATTATTTTTTTTAAATCTAAGCACTTTTTTTATATTATTAATGGCTTTATTTATAATATATATGCTAAAGTTAAACGGCTTTATATACCGCACGATATAATTAAAAAAATATTAAAAGCAGTGCACAACAAAAAGTACTACGCCGGACTAAACCGTATAATATATAACCTAAAGTTATATTTAATATATTATAAATTATAGCTAGTAAAAAAGTATGTCAAATATTGCCTAAGTTGCAAATTTAATTATACTAATCAAACTAAAGCTATAAGAAATTTTCGGCTAATCTATTCTAAACATACCTTGCTAATACAGATTATTATTATTAATTTTATTCTTTTTTTACCTTTAATTAAATTAGCGGGTATTTTTTAACAATTAATAAGCAAAGCTTACTATAAAGTTTATAACTATATAATAATAATATTTTATTTAATTTTAAAGCGTTTGCTGTTTATTTTTAAAAATAAAAAATATACCGCTAAAAAGTGGGCCATTGTTTTAATTAAACAGCTACTACTTAATAACTAGGGAGTACTTAAAGAGATTATTTTTAATTAAAACTGAAAATTTATTTTTAATTTATAAAAAAATATATAAAAAGCTATAGGTATTAAGCTGCTAATAATTATAGCGTATTATTTTTAAAAAAACGGGCTTTTAAAACGAAAAAACCAGACTATTAAAATCGTTTTATATTTTTATAACTTTATTAACTTTAAATTTAATTAGCTTAAAATTATTTTAATTTTATAATAAAATTTAAATATAGCAAAGAATTAAGCTATATAATTAATATTATATAAATAGTTATTTAAATTTCGACTATTTAAACCGTTTAATGTAATTATAAGCGCCGACCTAAAGTTTAATAAAACTTTGCAGAAAGTGCAAGCGTTGCAAGACCACTTATAATAAAATGTTAACCTAGCAATGGATTTTGCCGCCGCATAAACAAAAAGATATTATAATAAAAAGTATTAAATATTAAAGTTTTAGCTTAAAAATAAGGTTTTACTATAACTTTATAATAGCTATTATTTGCTCGGCCGGCCTTTTTATAAATACTTTTAATAAAAAGCCGGCTTTTAAATTATTGTTTAAAAAATTAGTAATTTAGCATATAAATTAGACTTTCCTAAGCATTACCGTATATACCCCGTAGTTTTTATCGCTTAATTATAGCCGATGCGTAATAACAACGATCTTTTCCAGCATACCACTTTTTTACTAGAGCTAATAAAAGCTAATTAACACTTTAATAAAAAGAACGAAAAAAAAGTATATAAAATAAAAATCGTGCTACATCATCGCTTTAACCGAAAAAAAAACAGATTTAATTATTTAATTAAATAAAAAAGATAAAGCTATAAATATAACCGTTAGCACTTTAAAAGCTACTTACAGCACTTTTAAAAGTTAATTAAAAAATATTAAGGTTGCTACAGACCTCGACTTAAACTGCCCTTTAAAACTTAAAAAGGCAACGCAAACGCTAAACCTAAAACTGTTAGTAAGCGTCGAAAGCGGCCACGCAAAAATACGTTTACAAAAAAAGCTACTTTTAAAACGAGATATAATCTTTAAAATCATTAATAAACCGTAAAAATTGGCAAAGCTGCATTAAAAAATAAATACAAAGCTATTAAAAACAATAGCTTTTTTTCTCCGTCTTTTAGCACTTTGATAAAAACTTATAAAAGTCCCGTTTTATAAATAATTACTAAAAGCTACTAAAAAGTAAATCCTATACTATCTACCTCTGGGCTAACAGCCGCTAGCTAGCTATAAATTAAATAAGCGCACTAGCGCGCACACTTATAGCTAGAATTTTCTAGCCAGATAGATCCTCTACCTACTTTTTAATTTTATATCTTTTGTTTTATTATTTTATTATTATTACTATGACTGCATTTATTAGCTAGCTTTATACCCTTAGCTTAAAAATATGCTTTTTTTTAAATATTATACTAATTTTTAAGCTTAATACTTTTTTAAATCGTTTTTTATAAAACGTTTTAGTACGCTTAAATAATATAAATTAAGCAGATCTTATTTATAAAAGCATAGTTTTTTTTAAAAATTTTAAAAAAAAATTAAAAATTATATTTATTATTTTTAAAAAGCTTAGCTATAATATTAGCTATAAAATCTTTATTAACCGTTTTATTAACTTAATTATATAAAGCTATATATTAATTAGCTTTAATAGTCTATATTGCAGTAATAATTAAAAAATGCTTAATTTGCTTAGCTAACTTTATTTTAATTTCCGCCTTTATAAAATCTAATATGCCTATTTAATATATTTTAAATATATTTACCGCAGTTTAAACAGTAAATAATAAAAAAAGTTAACTCGGTTAAAAATCATTTTTTAAAACGTTTAAGTTAATATTAACCTATATTTTGCAGAGCCTTATATTTTATTTAAAATAATTAATTTAAAAAATTTAATTATTATTATTATAAAGCTATAAATAATTATTAAATAAAGTTTTTATAAAAGTAGATATTTTAAAATCTATAATAATTAAATAAATATAAATTAAAAAAAAAATATATAAAAAAAAATTAAAATTAAAAAAATAACTATTTAGTAATTTAAAAAAATATTTAAAACATTAGTTTTAAAAGCGAACCGGGCTTATAATTTTTATATAAAAATAAAATTTAAATTAAATAAAAAAAAATAACTAGTACTAAAACTAATAAAATTACTAAAAATATATTAAAATAATCTACCTGTTTAATTTTTTAAAAATTATAAAAAAAAAAAAAGCACCTATTTATACACCTAGGTGCTACGTACGTACAGTCACTAGATCTAATGGATCTAGTCTATGTAGACCCACCAGATCCCCACATATCTGTGACATTCACCTTGCTATTGTTTGGAGAAATGTAGACAGCATAAAGATGCTGCTCGGTGCCAGCGCCCAGGTAAATGCGAAAGACCAGTGTGGATTCTCACCCCTAGATCTCGCTCGCGCGTCGTTGGTATCGGAATAACACCCGACGCTGGGATGGACACAAACCTCGTGGCTGCAATGTGGTGTCTGTGGAAGCAGCTATGGAAGATGGGAAACAACTCGCTTCACTTCTGCGCTGGGCGGCCTTCCATGATCAACCCGAGAGCATAGTGTAACTGTTAGATCGTAGGGCTCACTTGGATGCAGGGACCAAACAACGGCTATATCGCGACTCCTTTGCGAGTAGAATGTTCAATCTGCCTTAGACTGAACCGTGGTATCACTAAGGGATGGAATCCAGAACTACCTTTGATTATGTACACCTGGATGGGGGGGCTTACTACACGGGCCGACGCAAAGCTCCGTGGTAACTTTATATAGCTACCTCTGATCGTTGTTATTGCTTGGTGGGCTCCGCACGATGAATCACCCTTAGATGGTTAAGTGGCAATACACTTACATCCGGGCCGTCGTATAATTTTTTTAAACAGCACCGTCTCAGGTTCGAATTTGTAATATTGTCGATTGTTATATTTTCAGCGATTATTTTATTGAAACACATTTGCTAATACTTTCTCTCACTCCACTCTTTCCCTACGTGGAGATACCCAGGTAGGTTACATACTAGATTGATAGCGCACTAGGTCACCTGCTCTGCTCGGCCACGACGGCCTCCTCCTCCTTTCTCACTTCCCCCGAAACGGTAGAGGGGGACGCTACCTCCCATCGACTCCTTCCTCACAGCTCACAGCTTATCCGCAAGTACCTCTCTCCCCACTTCCATTTGCCCTGAAACAAGGTCAATAATGATGAACACTGAGGGCCTCCTACCAGAAGTCAGACAGCCCGGTGGTCTAGGGGTCAAGATTCATCGTGCGGAGCCCACCAAAGCTCGCAGCCCGATAAGGTCGGGGGTTCGATTCCCTCCCGGTCACCGTCGCTTCACCCTGGGTAAACCTGGGGTTCATCCTGATCTCTCGGCTGGGAGCAGATGTAGTAGCCGACAGATGGGAGGTTTGCGAACTGTTTTTTATTTTGATTTCCGTCAGAAATGTTGCAGCGTGACGTCTCTCCCGTTGCACGCGCATGCCCAACCAAACACAGCCTTTTAGTGTGCTGAATTCACGGGGTTTAAATCGAATCCCAAATGTGCGGCCTGCTTGAGCAACTCAGCATGATCTGTCTAGCCATCGAAGACTACTACTCTTCGTGTTGATCGACTCCTCCCTTATCTTGTATGGCGGTGGATGCATGCTCCCATCAAAAAGCATTCGTGATATCAGACTGAGATCAAATGTTAGATTGTCGTCCTCGTCGTCCTCGACAATAGCATGGCCAAGCTCAATCATATAATAATCAATTGAGTAAACAGTAGAACGGGTTTGTTGAGCTAACTCGTCGTGGGACATGTACCAGTGGAAGCTATTGTACTGATAAGAATGGAGAACGAACTCCTCCAAGTCCACGAAACGCACATGGAGTTCTCCGTTTCTCTTGTGTATACAGCTAATATTTGTTACAGTATATGAGTATTTCCTATCAGTTTCTTTAAGTTGATGTCTATTTTTGTTTGCTGGGTTCTCACATTCACATAATAGCATGGTTGCTTTACTTTACTGGTAGATTTATTCAATTACCTACCTAGCCTAATATGGGCTTACTTAATATTTACTTGATATGCAAGTGTAGCATAAATGAGCATTTGTCGGGAACATCACTTTTTACCGGATTTACCGAGTGCGGGTTTAGGGGCTTTAGAGGCTTTCGCTTCTGCGGCACCTTTGCAATGCGGACACTCTTCGTCCTGAAGATGTATCATGTCATGCGTCGAGCATAGTGTCTGGTGTTTGGTGCAGTAGCCTCCGTTGGCTCTGCAATTTCCCAGATTCTTCTTAGGGCAGTGGTGTGTCTTCGTGGCGCGAAGCTTAGGCATTGTGATATTTATTCGGCACTTGATGTGAAGAATGTCGTAGGTTAGTAGCAATGGAAAAGTATTGATGAGTCGAGTGTGGTGATGGGTATGCGTCAGAGTGCACGAAGAAATCAAAGTGAAATCGGTTGCTTATATATGTATTAGTCTGTGACATGGAATCATCTAACAGAACTATTGAATCATTGAAATATAGGGTGTTAGTAGCCTTATTAGTTGTTTTCTGTTTCGGTATACTTCATCTATCCCTTGTACAGCTATAACAAGAGTTAAGTATGATAACAGCCCCTTTGTTTCTTGTCCCAGAAGTTTAATATCATTCGATACTTAAAAGGCAGTAACAGTAGAATAAGTTGCAGTATTTAGGGCCACTTTCCCTAGATATTACTTACAAAATGGAGCCGATAAAGGGGACCAACAGAGTGATATATATATGAGTCTTTTAAAAGGGAAAATATTCTGCCGATTCATGATGCGTAGCTCGCTCGTTCCTCGGATCCTGGTGCTTCCGGTTATGGATATTACAGGCAAGATGGTACCCCCATGCTACTGATAACAACCTTATAATTCCTGCCCTACGAGTTGCATTGAGCCAGAATGTAGGACAGCCATAGACATAGTAGATAAGGAGTTGTGACTGTACTGTGTTCCTAAAATACCTATAAAGTTGTCTTCTAGGAATGGATATTGTAACATAGTTAGCTATGCACCGAATACCCCTTAAAAGGCCTATACTATTACATAGCAGCAACCGACTCGCCCACCTAGGATATCACGTAATTAGTTATTATAGCCTGTAGTTCATAATGATACAAGCTATTGCACGAGGTACCCTTTAGTTTTCTCCCTTTTCTTACTTTGGGCTTCATACATAGTAATTTTATATAGCTGTTGTGCTTTTTATCAAGGACTACTGGTTTACTTCACTTACACATATTCTGGAGAACTATGGTTTCTTTTTTATGACAGTCTATTTAGTCTTATCTAATGTCTGTCTATGTGGTTAGGGGTTTAGGCCACGGGTGTGCGATGTACCCTCCTCGTTTCACTATCTGCTCATAACCTTCAAGTGGAACCGGGTTTAGCCTGATGGATGGACCCCCACTCGAAGAGCATGGCATCAGCCTCATCGCAATCTTCCTTGGTTCGAAGTCCATTGATAACGAAGTGGAGAAGTTGTCTGGCCAGCCGGAACGCTGGCTGGTAGGCATGTCGGAGATAGTCAGGCCCTGCGGCGCTCTCAAAGAGCCTTTTTAGTTCCCGCGATTCTTCCGTGGGTGGCTCATCGTTTGCCTTCCGTTCGTCTTCGTCTTCATCGAGCGCCCAGGCCCAGAGCCACATGGGCGGCAGGCATGACATGAACATCGGCGCAAGTATAGCACTATCCCAATCCAGTATGCCGGATAGGACGGGGAGTTCAGTGTCAGAAGTTGGGTGTACAAGAATGTTGCGAGGGTGGAAGTCGAGGTGGGCTAGTGAATAGTGGTCGTTTACAAACCACCCACCTTCATCCAGCTCTGACGCCATGGCCATGAAGCGATCCATGTAGGCAATCTTGAAAGTAAGCGGAGGATCCCTGAGTTGATACTCGTCTTTCTTCTCCTGTATGCAGCTCTTAAAGAGGTCGAGAACGGGTGTGGTCGCTGCCGAGCTACTGAAAGTCATTGATGATGAATTAGACTCGCGATCTTCGCCGCAGATGGGTACTATTTTTACATGACCTTCCAGGGCTTCCTCGAGATTAGCGTCCAAAGGCTGGACAAAGACCCCGGATGTGCTGCTCTTGACGGCCAACATGGAGGCAAAGGCAGTCCCTAGCTCATGGGCGAGTTTGCAACGTTGGGGATGGGTCAAGATGGTGTAAGCACTGAGCAAGGTGGTTCCCGGGATGCGGTTCTGAATCTGGAAGGGCGAATCAAGCTCGTTCTCATCAGTCTCATTCCATTTGATTACCTCGGGGGCTGGAATGGTGGTGAAGCGTTTCACAAAGTGAAGAGCAGCAACATCATTCCTTACGTTGGAAGAGTCGAAGCGTGGCAGTCGGACAATGTACTGGAGCGTGTCAGGGCCACCGCTAGGTTCATCTGCCTCAAGAAGACTCGTCGTTTTCTTCGCGAGTCCGATGATGCGGTTGTATCCGCCGCCAGGCAGACGCTCCACTGTGATGTCAAAGGGTGATGCATCTGGCCAGATTTTCTGTGCGAGATCTCGTACACGAGATTCAAAAGTTACGAATGGCTCGTGCCCGTAGACGACAGTTGAGCTATCCGACGTATCACTGGAGTCAGAATGATCGGAGACAGCATCAGAACCAGCATCAGACCTGGCGTCAGAGCCAGCATCAGAACCAGCGTCGGAACCAGCATCAGAACTAGCATCAGTATTAGCATCGGAGTAAGCACTTGTCTCGGCATTGGGCTCAGAGCCATACCGAGCGTCAATAGAAATATCAAGGTAATGGGCAATGCCAACGTCGGAGAGAGGGTCAATAGAAGCATCACTGCCAACGTCGGACCGAGCGTCAATATGAGCGTCACTGCCAATGTCACTGCTAGCGTCAGAGCGGGAGTCGGGCCCAGGCGAGGCAGGAGGAGAGTTTGATGATAGACAGAGCGTGCACATTGTTTGTTCCAATTATGGGATTGGATGGTGCAGCCAAGTCGAGCTGTGTTATGGTGTTTGGTTTGTGTTCGTACAATTCCGATAGAGTTAGTTGATAAGATCGTATTGATTGAGCTTGAGTATGTGTAGCGGCGGGGGGGAAAAAGAAAGATTCAGACTAGCTAATAATGACATTTTATATATATCTGGGTAAGCAAACAACAATTGTTCGACACAATCATTGTAACAACAATTATGTTAAAAACAATCGATATGTTGCTATCCACGGAATCTATATGGAGCAATACATTTTTTAGCGGTTCAACAGACCTGTCGACCCTTGCAACAAAGAGGCTCACTGCGGCTTTTGAGGGATGATATTAAAATGTAAATCTCAAACAATTCGGCGGACAAGAAACTTTCGTTGTTTAGATTCTGTCAAACAACATGTACCCTCAAAGTCACCTAACCCATCAATGATTTGTTCTAAGGTATTCCCCAAATAGGCTAGCACGCCTTGGCGAACAGTACAGGGCGTCCCCTTCGCCAGACGCGTCGCGGGGAACTTTCCCGCGTTCCCTCTTTTTCCACTCCTACAGAAAAGATGGGCTTTACGGTGGACGGAAGTTTTTTTTATCTCCCCCATTATCATGTACGCCTTCTATAGTGGCCGGCTACGTTTTATAAAGCACACTGTATTGGGTGTATAAGATCGGGGGGGTGGGCTATGGGGCGCAAGGTTAGAAAGGAGTATTGTACTGAGTGGTGGTGCTTTTATTCAATATTTTAGCATAGGCTGCGCAGCTATTCGAGACCTGGTTTGACACAGGTGGCCGGCTGTAATAACAGCGCACCAACCACGCCTTGAGTAGAGGCTCATGCTCCCCCCCCAATATATACGTTCAACCGACTTCTTTTGTGCAGCCGTATTGAGTGAACTACCTAATCAAATAAAGAAGTACTGATGTATAGTGTGCCTATAATCTTATTAATTTCACGGCCCCTGGTTGATCTGGACTTAGGCAAACCACTCTGCACATGGTTTTTGCAACTATAATTCTGCAGCTATTACCTATTATATATGAGCGGTTAGATAAGGGGACACCAAACCATCTAGGTAAGATGCTAATGTGGAAAACTAGTGAGTATTCTGCAGAGACATAATTACTGATAAAGTGTACGGATTGCTTGGCTCAGCAGGGGTAATGTCTGGTGACTTTGAGATTAGGTTCTTTCCATTGATCTCAAAGCCTACCCAGTAAGGTGGAAGGTAACCTTTTCGGATGGGCTACATACTTCGTAAATACATGACTGCTTGATTGACGAAAGTCTAACCCCGGAAAAACCAGTGACGCCTACCAAAGTATGTAGCTTGGGAAGTAGGGCGAGATATGGTTCGCATC